GGGGCTTCCATGGCTAAACACGTAGGGCTAGGTGGCGGTTAGGGGCTCAGGGATGCAGTACTGCGAGCTACAGCGATGAGCGGCCATTTGCGTCGGCGGCGTGGCTGTTCCCCCGAACCTACGCGCTCACAGGAGAGTTAAAGTGGTGGAGAAGCATCAGGAGCTCACCAGGGTTCGCGCTACGGTGGCAGTTGAGACGGAGGAGCGACGAGGCGACCTGGCCACGTGCGCCCGCACCTCACGGCGTCGTGCCGAGCGTGGCACTCGTGCGTCACCGCACTGATGGTGGCCCTCCTAGACAAAGCAACGTGAGCGCCAAGTGGAGGGGGTCAATGCGAGTTTAAGGTCTCAAGCAATCGAACTTCTATCGCTCCAATCCTACCTCTCTCCCCAGTTCCAGGTCACAACGGTGACCAAGGCCCGCGACGAGCAAAACGCCCAATTGATCGTTGATAGCCCATGGCCAGGGGTGGAAGAGATGGAGCGCCAAGTAGGCTTCCGGTGCCCTCTACTGGCACAAAGAATCAGTTTGTGGAGGACCGAAGCTAAACGAATTGGAGGGTGGAAAAGGCGAGCTCTGGCCGTGCCCTGCCGTGGAGAAGCACACGCGCGCGGGCGAAAGGCTTAAGACGGCCAACCCTGGTCACTGGCTGCGACACGAGCAAGTCCACGCGACGGACAAATAGGAGACTTAGCGCGACGCTCTTAACTCGGAGTGACCAAACCCGAGCCGAACTCTCCATGGCATCTAGCGGGGCAAGACAAGGCAGGGAAACATCCCATCGCTTCTACGGTTGGGCCACCGTTGCGACACGGCGGTAGGGCTCCAAGGCATAGACTGGCGCGGTAGGTAGAACAAGGGACGGGGTGAGCGCCACATCGAACAAGCAATGCAGCCACAACCTTGGCAAGGCCTAACGGCCGGTCATGCGAGCGCGGCACGCACGCAGCAGAGGGACCAGGCCATGGCCAGCTGGGGCAGGCCATCGCCCAAGGCAAGGCTGTGCGGCGCCAACCAACGCAAGCTGGCCAGCGGCCGCAGCCCGGTCAAGATGTGAGCCCGACACCAGCAGCGCCCACGCGCGCGGTGACCGCGACTCAGGCCGAGTGGTAGCAAACTACGTCATGCACGTATTTTAAAGCTAAACAAAAACCGCTAATTATCTCGTCTAAGGTTCAACCACTTATGCTAGTTTAAAGCCAACACTACCCGGTTCCTAACGAAACAATCGTTATGATCACAGAGCAGCTAGGGGGAAAGATAAACGAGTGCCAAGGTAAGCTCGTCACTGAAATGCCGGTTCACGAACAGAGTGCCAACGACATGGTTCACAGCGCGTTCCAATGTAGATCCGGCAATTTTTACGAGTTCCACGTGACAACCAACATGACTGTAACCTACACCATGCCTAAGTGGTCGTCTTGATGCAACCAACTGTACAAAAAATATGGATGTATTGATTAATCATTTTTGTTGAATTTTAAATGCCAAAATGGCATTGTTTACGGTTCTTTTCCGATTTGGACAGAGTAAAGGCTTGGTTAGAACTAACAACCTTTAGCGTTTTTGCCGTAATTATTAAAGGGTCTAAACCTTGTTGGTTTCAACTGACAATCATACCATGAACCAGCCCATACTACATACTAACTCATAGGAACAAAATATTAAAGCACTATTTAAGTATGTTCCACTATATAATTTACCAAAGATAGCACTTTAAACTTAAATCGTTTGTTTACCGACTTAACCGTGAAGAGTGAATTTAATTTCAATTTGATTTCCGAGCTTCCCAAAAATACTAGATGATATTATTATTCTCCAAAATTAATGTTACATTTCTATCTACATAATTTGCTCGCCAATTTTACTTAAGCACTATGCTCCAGTTACATTTTATTTTTGTTTATAAAAAATTGTCTTTCGCGCCAACGATTAAACTACTTATTCTACCTTTCCTTGCTAAGATTTTCATTAGCATGTTTAGGCATTAAGTAAACTAACTTATAATATTTCTTTTGATTTTTTCTCAATCGCAAAGGGAGTCATATAAATTTTTGTTTATCATCTCATGTTAATTTTAAATTCTTAAAACCAGCGAACCTGTTTGCTGGTATCTTTTAGGTCTTAATCCTGGTGCTAAGCAAGCTCGTAAACAAAAAAGTTTACAATTTTCTTCTTACCTTTTTCTCATTGCTAATCTTGGTCTCATCTCATTGCTTCTTACCCTTTTTTCAGTTAATTTTATTTAGTGCAGTAAGTTAAAATGGTTTGTATGTAAGTTGTTCTTCATCCAGAAAAAGTTTACAATTTTTTTGATCTTATTTTCATTTACAGTTTTTTGAATCGGAATCCGGTTTACCCGCCAAACGGTTCCATGAAGTAATTTCAATTCATCACAAAAATAATTTTTGAGAGAATTTAAATCCGAAATATTTCTACGAAAACCTAGAGCCCTACCAAACGCACCCAATTATTGAGAATCATCTTCAAATACACCCGTAATGTTATGTACATGTACTCAAGCTTGGTTTATATTAGGAAGGTAGAGTCCTTAAACCGCATCGGGAAACCGACCGCGAAACCAACTTGGGCTGTCAAAACCACCCCCACGGTAGCGTACAAATACAAACCCAATAAAAGGCAATAACCAAACCCACACGAAAACCATTTTATTACCAAAAAAAAATCGCCCAACCCAATCAGAAAAACCCTCGCCCCCATCACAGCCATCCGTGCCAGATCCAACGGTCACCACCTACCCACGGCACGCGCCCAACCCGCTCCCCACGTCCCACCTCACCAAAGATGCCCTGCTTTTCTTTTCCCCGCATTATTATTTGATTTCCTCGCCTCGCCCTCCCCTCCTCTCTACCTCCGCCGCCGCCGCCCGCCTCCACCCCTGCCCTCCCTCCTCCACCCCACGCGCCTGCGCGTCGCCGATCGGGTCCCCGGCCGCGCGCTCCCTCCGACCTTCCGCTGCAGTCGACTGAGGCCTCCCGCTCCTCCGCTCAGGCCGTACGCCGCGGGGGTCGCGACTCCGCGTCAAGCAACGTAAGTGGCAGGTCAAAACCCTAGTCTCTCTCTCCCCAGTTGGATCTAGGGGGCCGGTCAGGTCTTGATCCGCTCCCGGATCTCCGGCCCGATCTGCGCTACCTGTTTGCGTGTGGTTTCGGTTGTCTCGATCCGTCAGTTCGTCGGCGGCTCGGTGCGGGTGCTCGCTCGTGTCTTCGCTGTGCGTGATTAGTTCCCGCTTGGGTTGCTAGATCTGAGTCAGTTTTTGTGGTTAGAGTTGGACGGCCGGGCGATTTCTGCGCGTGTGGAGTTAGATTCGTCTGTGGAATAGTAATCGTGGCGTAGACGAAGAGAGTTGAGCTGTGTTAGGCGTTGATGAATCTGATGCGCACTCACTTTGTATAGTTGGTTGTCTCTAGTGAATCCGTCGCATGAACTGCAACGTTCTATTCCTAGCACTCACTTTGTGTAGTTGATAGTTTCTAGTGAATCTATCTATCGCATGAACTTCCACGTGCTATTCCTAGCACTCGCTTTGTATAGTTGGTTGTTTCCTAGTACACTCGTTCGGTTACTTGTGGTAGCGCCACCTGCTAAATTCTGAAAAGGGAGCAATTATGTCGTATATAGTACCGCCCATATTGACTGTAATCTTGGTATAGTTTCTGTTAAGCAGTAATTAGCACTCACTTTGTATAGTTGGTTGTTTATAGTGAATCTGTCGCATGAACTTCCACATGCTATTTCTACAGTTTTCGTTGCAGTTCCTGTGTATAGCTTAGCTCCTTCCGAGTAGCCTTGTTCGGTTACCAAGTACTCTTGTTCCGTTACTTGTGGTAGTGCCACCTGCTAAATTCTGAAAAGGGAGCAATTATGTCGTATATAGTACCTACCATATTGATTGTAGTCTTGGTATAGTTTCTGTTAAGCAGTAATTTCTACAGCTGGCCAATTTTACTGCAACGATTTAGTTTTGTAAGGCTACACACGTTAGCTTACTTGCTTGGAGAACTCTAGCGTTGTATTCCTAGCACTCACTTTGTATAATTGATTGTTTCTAGTGAATCTGTCACATGAACTTCCACGTGCTATTCCTACCGTTTTCGTTGCAGTTCCTGTGTATAACTTAGCTCCTTCACAGTACTCTTGTTCGGTTTCAGAGTACTCCTGTTCGGTTACTTGTGGTAGTGCCACCTGCTAAATTCTGAAAAGGGAGCAATTATGTCCTATAGTACCTCCCATATTGATTGTAGTATCGGTATAGTGTCTGTTAAGTAGTAATTTCTACAGCTGGCCAATTTTACTGCAACCATTTAGTTTTTTAAGGCCACATACGTTTGCTTGCTTGCTTGGAGAACTCTAGCTTCGTTGGTTTATAGTTTGCAGTGTTAGATTGTAGGCCACAAAACACAGTCTAGCAATCTGAATGTCAGTTCTTGTTTATTGGGGCGAGCTGAATAAGATTCCTGCCAAAGAGTATTAGGTTCTGAACTTGTTATACTGCTAATTTGTCTATGATCACTCGTGTGGCAATAAGGGGTTACATGTGCACCGATGACTAGTACTGGATCATTGTTGTTCATATGGCATCTTGATTCCTTTACTGGACTAGTATAAGAATCTATCGTGCTTTCCTGACATGATATTCTTTCTCCAATTTGTGTGGGTATGCTTACTAATGAATTACCATATTTCGTGGCTACAACAATACAGAGCATGCTAATTTTGTTCCTCTGCTTTTACTGTTTAGCATTGATATGCCTAGCAATAATGACTCTGTATATTTGTCTAACTTTACATGATATAACAATTTGGTGCAATATGTCTTGTTTGGCTTTACATGGAGCAGTTTGGTGTTTGTTGGGCTTTACAAGCAGAGCACTTTTGTTGTTGTCTAATTTATATTGGATACCCTTTGCTGATGCATATGGTTTTGTGCCACAAATTTATTCTGATTCCTCCCTGTTTTGGCATTCACAGAGTCAATATGTCACTCGACGTTACTCAAGTTCTCTTAAGTGCGCAATCTGCTGATGGCGCAATTAGGAAACATGCTGAAGAAAGCCTCAAGCAATTCCAGGAGCAGAACCTCCCTGGATTCTTGCTCTCCCTTTCAAGCGAGTTGGCCAATGAAGAGAAACCTGAGGAGAGCCGCAGGTTAGCTGGCTTGATTCTTAAGAATGCACTGGATGCAAAGGAGCAGCACAGGAAGAATGAGCTTTTCCAGAGATGGCTGGCACTGGATGCTGGTGCCAAGGCACAAATTAAAGGATTGTTGCTGCAAACTCTCACATCTCCTGTTGCAAGTGCCAGGTCCACTGCTTCCCAAGTTATTGCCAAGGTTGCTGGTATTGAGATTCCGCAGAAGCAATGGCCAGAGCTTATAGGATCATTGCTCGCAAATATACATCAGGTCCAGCCAAATGTCAAGCAAGCAACTCTTGAAACACTTGGCTATTTATGTGAGGAAGTTTCTCCAGATGCTGTTGACCAAGACCAAGTCAATAAAATACTTACAGCTGTTGTTCAGGGTATGAATGCTTCTGAGGCAAACTCTGATGTGAGGCTTGCAGCTACACGGGCATTGTATAATGCTTTGGGCTTTGCTCAGGTTAACTTCTCGAATGACATGGAGCGTGACTATATCATGAGAGTAGTTTGTGAAGCGACTCAGTCTCCAGAGGTGAAGATAAGGCAGGCTGCCTTTGAGTGTTTGGTGGCTATATCGTCTACTTATTATGATAAGCTGGCAACATACATGCAGGATATATTTAATATAACTGCAAAAGCTGTGAGGGGAGATGAGGAGTCAGTTGCACTCCAGGCTATTGAGTTCTGGAGTTCCATTTGTGATGAGGAAATTGACATTCTGGATGAGTACAGCAGTGAATTTACAGCTGATTCTGATGTTCCATGCTACTACTTTATCAAGCAGGCTCTTCCTGCCTTGGTGCCGATGTTGTTGGAAACTCTCCTCAAGCAAGAGGAAGACCAAGATTTGGATGAAGGTGCTTGGAATCTTGCAATGGCTGGGGGAACTTGTTTGGGCCTGGTGGCAAGGACTGTTGGTGATGACATTGTTCCTCTTGTAATGCCTTTTGTGGAGGAGAACATAACCAAGTCTGAGTGGAGACAGAGAGAGGCTGCAACATATGCCTTTGGATCTATCTTGGAGGGCCCATCAGCTGATAAACTGGCTCCTCTTGTTAATGTTGCGTTGGGCTTCATGCTGTCGGCGCTGATGAAGGATCCCAGTAACCATGTAAAGGACACAACTGCTTGGACACTTGGGAGAATCTTTGAGTTCCTTCATGGTTCAGCACTTGAAACTCCTCCTATCATCACGGCCGAGAATTGTCAGCAAATACTTACTGTGCTGCTTCACAGCATGAAGGATGTCCCAAATGTGGCTGAAAAGGCATGTGGGGCCCTCTATTTCCTTGCACAAGGCTATGTGGATGCTGGATCTGCATCACCATTATCCCCTTTCTTTCAAGATATTGTTCAGAACCTTCTTATGGTCACTCACAGGGAGGATGCTGGAGAATCTCGGCTGCGAACAGCAGCATATGAGACCCTAAATGAAGTTGTCAGGTGCTCCACTGAGGTGACGGCCCCTATTGTTATGCAGTTAGTACCTGTGATCATGGTGGAGCTCCATCAGACACTTGAAACCGAAAAGCTGTCAACTGATGAGAGGGAGAAGAGGAGCGAACTGCAGGGCCTCCTTTGTGGTTGCTTGCAGGTCATTATCCAAAAGTTGGGAGGGATGGAGTCAACTAAGTACTCTTTCTTGCAGTATGCTGATCAGATGATGGATCTGTTTTTGAGAGTTTTTGCATGTCGAAATGCCACAGTGCACGAGGAGGCTATGCTTGCTATTGGTGCATTGGCATATGCAGCTGGTCCAAACTTTGCAAAGTACATGGCACAGTTTTATCAGTATTTGGAGATGGGACTTCAGAACTTTGAGGAGTATCAGGTGTGTGCCATTACCGTGGGCGTTGTTGGTGATCTCTGCAGAGCACTGGAAGACAAAATTTTACCCTTCTGTGATGGCATCATGACCCAGCTTCTGAAGGACCTGTCCAGTAACCAGCTGCACAGATCTGTGAAGCCACCGATATTTTCGTGCTTTGGTGATATTGCACTGGCAATTGGGGAGAACTTCGAGAAGTATTTGATCTATGCGATGCCTATGCTGCAAAGTGCTGCTGATTTGTCGGCCCATACCACCGCAACTGATGATGAGATGCTCGACTACACCAACCAGCTAAGGAATGGAATCTTGGAAGCCTACTCTGGTATCCTGCAAGGATTTAAGAGTTCACCCAAGACACAACTACTGATGCCATATGCTCCACATATTATTCAGTTCCTTGATGCTCTGTACAATGGAAAGGATATGTACGTCAAAACTTCACACTCTGATTCTTTACCTTTGCTGCCTAACTTATACGAGTCATCTGTTTTTGTTGATCTAATGCTTTATGATGTTATACCTCTTTTGCAGGGATGATACTGTGATGAAGACTGCAATAGGTGTCTTGGGAGATCTGGCCGACACATTGGGTGTCCATGCTGGCCTGTTGATCAATCAATCCACCTCAAGCCTGGCATTTTTAGAGGAATGCTTGGCATCAGATGATCCTTTGGTGAAAGAATCTGCCGAGTGGGCGAGGATTGCAATCAGCCGTGCAGTTTCGGGTTGATGCCACATTGAGTCTCGAGTCTGCACTTGCATCCATCCGCATGTCATCTTGTCTGGGTCGTTGATTGCATCATGTCCAGACCTGCTCTTCGGAGAAGTCCAACATCTTTACAGCAGAGTCGGAGGGTCCTCACTAACTCATGCATCCAGTACATGTGTCAACCCGTGCTTCCCGCTTCTGCGAGAAAAGAGGGTTCAAGTTGGCCGCCTGCTAACTTTTGCTAAAGGCATCTGCAACCTTCATTTCTTATTGGAGGTGAGATGAGCTTCTATTGTTGCATGACATGCTGTCAGTTTCCTCGGCATGGCATGCCTAAGAACTGTGGCCTATCATTCCCCCCCCTGCATTCATCCCATGCATCGAACTCTGGTCGGATGGTCACTTGGGACAAAAGGCCCAGTTGCTTGCTGCTGCTCCAGTAAGCAAGAACGGGCTTGAACGCATTGTCACAGGATTATTTTTGTATCGATCAGGGTGGCCAAGTCCATTTATGTCAGACATACCCCTCCCTGCTGGTAGTAGGCTGTTAATTTCCTAGCATTCTTTTCCCTTTATCCACTTGCATTGTCTTTGCATTTGATTCATGGTCGGTATGTTTTGTAAGAGTTGTTTTGGGGCAAAACTTGTGTCCTGTCCGGTCTGCTACCGCGCGCTATTTGTACAAGTCAAGTCTGTGCGTGCATTGGTTTATTTCTGGGTGTTATCGTAGCAGCGGGTGTTTGTCCTTTTTCACACCTGTCTTTGGTAATCTACATACGTGCTGCTCAATTTCGGTTTATCAGGAGCTGGGCGGGTGAAGAAACAAAGAGTTATGTAGGTCTTTGAAGTGGTTTTTGCAGGGGTTGGCAGAGGCAAATTGAGTTGGGTGTGGTTTATGAATTGTACTATGGTGTGGAGATCTGCTTCCTGCTACCAACATATCATATCATTTGTTGAGCATATGAGAATACCATGGTGAAATGTGATTGGTCTTTCGTTTTACGCTCTCAGCTTGCTAACCTCAGTGCAGACTGCAGATTTGAGCATAAGCACAAGCTGTACGTGAAGAGTGAGCTCTTTCTTTTCTCAACTTCATCTAAACGTGGAATCGAATCAAGCAAACTTGTGAACACACCTTCAGTTCAGCAAAGTGTAAAGAAGCAATCTTGTTCTCTTGCTTTTACTTTTGTCCATGTCCTCACTCATCAAGTTGTCTGCTGCTATGCGCCTCTTCTTTTCCCCCTTTTTGATTAAATAAAACGATTGCCGATCCTAGCTCTTGTAGGAGTATATTGAAAACCATAGCCGTTAATCTACTAGTACTAGCATTAAAGGTCTTTTTCTCCAATTTGACCCTTCTCATGGACGTCATCACATCACTAAGCTCGCCTATAAAAGCCAGGCAGACCTGTCTGATGTTTTGCCATTGTGTCACAAACTCACGCCTAACAACACGATCAGCTATAGCGAGCTCACAGCTCTGTCAAGGACTGAAGGTGAAGGCCATGGCCAGAACCCTGGTCCTCGTCGCTGTTCTCCTCGCCGCCAGCGCCGGCGCCACGACGGCGACCACGCTGACCATCCACAACCTCTGCCCGCACCCGGTGTGGCCGCTGGTGACCCCGAACTCGGGCCTCCCTTCCATCTCCGACAACACTGCGCGCCTCGACCCCAATGCGCTGCTCTCCCTCACCTTCCCGCCCACCTTCTGGGCCGGCCGCGTCGCGGCGCGCACGGGCTGCGACGCCACCGCGTCGGGATGCTGGACGGGCTCCGCGCCGCCCGCCACCATCGTGCAGGTCACCGTCCACGACGGCGGGAGCCTGGACCAGGCCACCTACAGCGTGAGCCTCGTCGACGGCTTCAACGTGCCCGTGGTGGTCAGCCCGCAGGCGATCGCCGGCGGGGGGCAGTGCCCGGCGCTGGGTTGCCCCGTCGACCTCAACTGCGACTGCCCTCCTCCGCAGCGCGCCGCCGAGGGTGTGGCGTGCCGTGGCCCACCGGAGTACTTCAAGAACCGGTGCCCGCTCACCCGGACCACGCCCACCGACGTCGAGCCCGTCCCGCAGAGCTGCCGCGCCCCCGGGGAGCTCAAGGTCGTCTTCTGTCAGGCGACCATTGTCACGGGCGACGCCGCCGCCGCCGCTGCCGCCGCAGAAGGCGAGATGGTCATCCGCTCTGTCGTCGCCGACAGCTAGACTGATCGATCGAGCCGTCCAGAGCTCCATTAGCCTCCTCGCTTCGTTGAATCGTAGTCATGATTTCTTTTGCTACATGTGTTTGTGTTTAGTAGGGCGTTTAGCATTGGCGCGTGTACTCCGGTGGTTTTCGGAAATCAGCACTGAAGCAAAATAATAATGCCAGTTCTAAACCTCAATCTCAAATCTATATGTTGTCTTTACCCAATTTCGGATACTTAGAGAAACTACATCATGCTCGCATCGTGTTTTGCTACACCACATGGTCCATCAGCACCACAAATTCTAGTGATATTTTGATGTCCTATAATAATTCATAAAAAGAAAGGTTGACTATCGTATCGAAGTTTTTCTTGTGATACTTTGATGTCCTATAAAAATAACATTTTAGCTTATCGACGTTTTTTGTTGGTGATATGACCATTGGAGATGCATGGAAACAAATTTATGTGCTTAAATGGCCAATTTATGTGCTTATGGACAAACTCGCTTGCATCGTTGATAAAAAAATAAGCTACATAGAATTGGTCTATTTGTGATCTAATAGATAAATCCTCTTGCAGATGACAAAGTTCCTGGATCCCAAACCCAGTTGTCATGATAAACCTCGGCTGGGCAAAGTTCAGATTTGCTAAACCGTCATTATTCAAAATCCACAAGGCACGCGTGAGGTGCATCTGAATGTGATTGAGGACGATAAAAAAGCTTACAGCCGTACCGTAGTAGCTTTTGGCATATATACCTTGCTTCTACCGAGAAAAAGCGTTAAAGCGAAAGTTGCGGATATCAAAGGCCTGATCCTGATGTCGGATCATAATTGTCTTATCAACTTTTGACAAAGCTGAGTTGTGTCAAAGACCAAAGACTATATGATAGTATGATCATGATATATGAAGATTCATCTTTTTTTTACCCCTCGAGAATATGCCGCGGATCTGATTAATCTTCCGAAAACTCCAGATGGTTTTGCGCATCAACAATTTTGTTCACAATTGCTAGATATCAATATGCCAAAACTACTTAGGGGCTGCTTGGTACCCGTCGAGGCCTTGCCTCACCTTGCTTGTTGCGCTCGGGTTGTGATAATCATGTTGCATCGAGTTTAAGTTTTTACGGTCTATTCACTCCGTAGCCTGATCCTTTCCCAAACCCATGGGCTGATCAGGTTTCCCTTGGCAGCTCAGGAATCGAGATCTAGAACTTTTTCTAGGCTTGATGCTTATGGGTTGGGCCGGTGCGTGATGAGGATGCGTGACATGTCGCTAGTCCGGAGCAAAAGGGAACCTCTAGTGAATCCACGCCAAGTCCTCCCATGTCACGAGCACCATTGGCAGCCCGGTCCACTTGACGAGCACTTGTTGAACAGACGTATATCACCCACGAGCAGAGACACGCTTCTCCAAGAATCTGGAGTATATAGAATCAATGTCAAGAAGAGAAGGGGAGACCTGACGTGGTACACAGGGTGTATCACTGAGCCGTCTGGAAGTTCGATTTACAGGCGACAACTCCAACTCTGGGATTACATTGAAGGGACCAAAGTACTATCTCTGTCCGTAAAAGAATAAAATCATAGGTGCATTATTCTTGGTTATTATGTTTAAAGTTTGATCAAATATATAGATAAAAATATTAATGTTTATGGCATTAAATAATTATAGTATAAAAATATATTTCATGACAAATCTAATGATATTTATTTGATATTATAAATATTGATATTTTATATATACCGTTGACCAAACTTAAGATACTTACTTGGTACTATGCTAAAATTGTGTTCTTTTATGAATGGAGAGTAACTGAAACTGAGCTTGTGGAAAGTCAGTTGAAACCAGTCGAAATTAATTGCCATGCAGGGCGTCGAAAAAATCTATCTACCTATTGTAGGTTCTTACTAGTTGCAATAGGATTATTTATTTTAAAAAAACAGTTGAAACAGCCATCAGCGCTAGGTGTGAAAAAGTCTAGGTACAATTTTTTTAAGAAAAAACAGTAGAAAGTAGTCGAAAACTAGTCAACATTCAGCGCGCTAAAAAGCCGAGTTGAAACTAGTCCTCAGAGTGCGGGTTGCCACTAGTTATAATTGGCATATTGTTTTTGAAAAAGTCGTCGAAACCAGTTCAAAGAAGTATTCACCGCACGGGGCGGACGGGTTGCACCACATGAGTTGTTTTGGTTGGTGGTGCAGGGTCTGCGCATTTGCAGTACAAATTTATACATATAATGTCCCTACATCAAATCATTTCGTTAATATGTAATGTGTAGAAAGGGCATGGAATTGAACAAACATCAACAATTAAGTTTCTATATTGATCCAAACAATTGGCTTTATATACTTTTTAGATAACAAAAACATTTCCAGCTTCAACCTCTTCTTTCAAAGAGGCATTTAGTTAAAATTAGCTATTACAAAGATGTGTAGTATAAACTATGAGTACCACTGACATGTGGTGAAGTAAAAACCAAACAAAGAAGAGTTTCACATTATTGACTAACTCTATTAAAGGAACTCCATCCATCCATGGAGGAGAAAATTTGCATGGCCATTGATTCCAATGCATGTACGTTATGCAAGAATCAACTCCTTTTGTTCTTCTTTGAAGAATCATCAACTCCTTTTGTTCTTCTTTGATGTCCTCCTGCATAAGCCTCGTGCATGTAATTTTTGGTTGACATTGATCAAACCTGTGTTGCCAAAGTGCACAAACAATGCAAATGCCAATGTCAATAACTTCAAACCATTATTTGATACCTCCCGTCCAATAAACCAATGAAATTTTTATATATTCCACCTTAGTGTAATGTTAAACCCAATATGGATAGTAGTCCAAAGAAACATAGCATAATGACAATTAAAGAAGAGATGTAGGATGGTTTTGAAATGACTACAAAAAAATTCTACTCACATTGGCCATTCCAGTTCCATCTAGCTAAGCTATCCATGCTAGAATAACACCATTTTTAAATACCACACGAAGATCTTGTTCTTTAGTGGTATTTTATATGCCCAAATTCATTACTCATAATCCAAATACCATTGTTGACAAGGAAATTATACATTGATTTATATAGAGATTCATGCAAACTCATTGCCCCTATCATTTAATTGCACATCTACAATTGTTGTAATCAAGTTTGTCATTCAACAAATTCGTTACTCTCTTAGTCCCTAAATATAAGCATTTGAAGCTTTCAAATTTGTCCCTAAGTATAAGTATTTCTATGAATTGAACATCCTCAACCCCGCTAGTAATTAATTGATCGGAGCGTCCGGTCGCTGTAAGAACAACGTCCGGTCACCTCGTGAGCTCGTTTCTTTGTGATCTTGCGTCCGGCTTGGTTCCTATCTTCGTGCTTGGACTTTGCTTGATATCTTGGGTCTCCCCTTGTGCTCCTAGGGTCTTGCTTAAGGTGTTGATCATCGGATCATCACGTCGTCTTTGTCTAAGTCACGTCTTGCATCCTATTGAACTACAAAACAATCACTTGCAAATTCATTACTCCAAATTGGTTGGGTTGGTCATCAAACACCAAAATTCAAAGTGAATGGGCCTAGGGTCCATTTTCCTTACAATACCCCCAGCCCCCAACGGACATTTCACCCAAGAGGTTGGGTAAGATGAAGTCCGCGGCCTTGAGATCGGGCGAGATGAGGCCGCCACCAAAGGGTCGGGTGAGCCGGAGCCCGCGACCAAAGGGTCAAGCGAGACGAAGCCCGCGACCAAAGGGTCGGGCGAGCCGGAGCCCATGACCTTGGGGTCGGGCGAGAGGGAGCCTGGGACCTAGGGGTCGAGCGAGATGGAGCCCACGACCTTGGGGTTGGGCGAGACGGAGCCCGTGACCAAAGGGTCAGAGCTCGCACCCCACAAGACAGTAAGAATAATAGTGAAGTGTAGACTACCTTGGCTGTGAATCTGAGGATGCATGTGGTTGTATGAGCACTTGGTAGCACAGATTAGCTTAAACATTGTGCCCCCCTTTATAGTACGGCTTTTCCTATACTCAAATTCAATATATAAAAGAATTTAAACCTCCTTTGAGTTTGAAGCCATCTATATTTATAGTTGGGGGCTCCTCCGTTTCTTGTACCATCCTCGAATATAAGTTCACTGCTTGTCATCTCTATAAATCTCATTAGTTCTCTAATTGCGAGGTCATTATCACAAAACCCCACAAATAAGGCTTGATTGCACTTTTAATCTCCCCCTTTTTGGTGATTGATGACAACCCAATTAGAGCTTACAAAAGATATGAAATAAATACTGAGACTTTTTGAGCCATTGGTGTAGAGTCTCCTCCTAAATATGTGAATAGAGAATTAAATTCTCAAATTAGCACAAGAAGCCAAGATTCACATTTAAGTGAAAGTGATGGGGCTCCCCCTACATCCAAGCTCCTATGGGGTGCTACATACTGTGTCAGGTAAGTAAAACGTGATGCAAATGACAGTTTATGCACACATGTGCTTGCTGCTGTGCGGCAAAGCCGCACTGACTATACGAGCAAGACAAAGTCAAGCACCACATAGCTAGCTCAGACAAAAGAATATGCAACCTAGCACAATAAGACGACTTCTAATCCACACAACGATACATGTCCATATCCGATAAACAAAGAGTCAAATAGTAGCATTATTTCACAATTTAAAGTTTTGAGCAACTCTCAAACTTTTCACCTAGTGAAGACTAACACTCATCGAATAGGACATGAAGCGTAGCTATTGAGTTGTTGACCCCTCTAATTTTCTCCCCTTTGACATAAAGCACCAAAAAGAGAGGAAAAGAAGAAATATCAACACCTACTCGTCATCTCCCTGGATGTTAGTCCAATCAATATCATCACCTCCTACAGCAGTCCCGGCACCACCATCACAATCATCGTCGTCGGAGTCAATACGTGCACGGCCCTAACGGTGAGTGGTGGTGGTGTAGCAAGTAGAACGAGTGGAATGCCTCGGCTCCTGTCTTTGATGGTATCCCTCTAGGGTCTCATCCCAA